TAGGTTTACCTGCTTGTTAATACAAGTATCTAATCACCCAATCACGTGGCACCAAATGAATGCATTCAGGCATGTAAACATTGTCGAGACAGCCTGCTGAAATTCAAACAGAGCATCAGAATGGGGAAGGACGGTGACTTTGAAGTGTCGCTTAAATCCTCCGCAAACAATTTGGTTAGTTCTCAGGGTGACAATGGCTTCTTAATGGCCAGACTGCTTCAAGCTGAAGGCAATAGTAACTCAAATAACCAGTTGTTAAAAACAAGATATGCAGAAGAGCATCTCAAAGCTTGAAGGACATGAGCTACAGCAGCGAAAGTTCACACCTGGTGCCTCTACAGTCAGTTAGGAACTTGAAACTGATGCTAAGATTTAAAGTGGCTTTTTCCAGACGATTGGAAAAACGTTGCTCCCCACAGAATAGCAAAACCAAATGATTACTCATAGAGGGTCGTCTGATTGTTGGAGCTTTCTCTATTAATGGAAGGCTCATTCAATTGAGATCTTTTTGTGACCATTTCTCCTCACTAAACTTCCAATGTAAAGCAACATGTTTCAAACTATTACCTAGTCACACGGCTGTGGCTTAATTTGTGCTTCAGTGAGATGTTTTAGGATCATATAGATGTCCTTGTGCCTAAATTATGACACTGGATTGTCTGTGACTACACTGTTGAATTTCACTAGAAAAGGTTTGTCATTGTTAACCTATCTCTCTCTCCCTGACAGCGGTATCTAACCTGGATGTGGAGAGTAAGCTGACAGCACATTACCAAGCTCCCTGGCATCAGCAGAGGAACGTTTTCCATTCATCTACACGGCCAGAATGTGTGGAAGAGCTCCACAGGCAAGCCAAAACCAGCCTGTGGGCCCTGCACCGAGGTGAGGCCCTCAGCAGCACTCAGCTCCTCAGATTGCAACACAGGGAAAGTAAAGCAGTTTATTAACTAGTGGTTAACTAGGTTAACTATTAACCTAGTTAATAAACTGCTTCACTTTTACCTTGCTGCCATTTAAAAACATTTCGGCTATAACGTGCATCCTTCCGGGCAGGTCTGCAGCCTGTGTTTGGAGGCATCGTGCCCTCTAGTGGACATGTTGTGCAACTACAACGTAAATAACAAGCATGTTCAGAGGCCATTTTCACACAGACAGTCTATCTACAACTTTAAAAAAAACATAAATAGTCAAGCATCAAAGAAGTGCACTTATGAATTCATCAAAATCACTTTAGTCATGCACTCTTAAGCACAACACTATACAATAATTCCTGGGTAAATTCAATGCAGAAAAAATGGCTGACCAAGGAGTCATATCTAACCAGATTAATCTGAACCCGCAGGTCGGTCTGCATGTGACACCTCTCGACACTTATATTTTATTATATCAGTGAATAAATACAATCGGTCTTCAGTGTTTTACATCTTTTTTGCTGCAGATCACCAGAGGAGACGATCGGGCAGCAGGGAGCGGAGAGTTACCATCGCAATCTCGCCGGTGCCCCCAATGCCCATGTATCCCTCCCCTCAGAGGGGAACAAATTTAACAACGGTGAGACGATTCTCCTCGACTTTGATCCAAACTGCTTTAAAAGATCTTCTTGATTTCAGTATGAAAATCACCAAGCCCAGTGACACCATCACTATAATTCATATTGATAGACACAGATGAATCCCTGTCAATAAGTGAAAAATAATCATCTTTTGATATTCAAATGTTGCTTCTATTGCATTTTAAAGGGAACTTAATCTGCTTTTATTTATTTTCTTACATATACCACACCAGTGGTCAGTGCTTTTACTACCCATGGCCATAGTTTCCAATAACGAGGTCAGTGCGTATACAAGTAATCCCTGTGAGCCAACAGCTCAGACAAACACTCAGTTTCAGACAGTTTTTTTTTCCAATCTTGGCTCTTGGTGACATCAGTAAGAGCAGGTATTCCTCATATGATCTCAGGTCAGTCTCCTCTCTTTCCCAGACTGTAAACTAATGAAATGTTGTAACTAGTTTACACCCCGATGTGTTTTAGTAATGACGCTGTTATTTATAATATTCTAATATGCATTTTTATATAAATATTGTAGTTTTATTTTTAAATGTACCAGTATATTATGGTACAGCTAAATGCT